AGATCAAGTTGGTTGATTATAGCATTTAGCTCTTCCGTGTCTTTGTTGAGCTTCTTTCTGGATGTTCAGTCCTTCACCGAAAGTGGTGTGTTGAAGTCTCCTACTACTATTGCGGAGCTGTCTATCTCTCTTTTCAGTGCTGTTAGAATTTGTTTTATGTATTTTGGAGCCCTGTCGTTGGGTGCATAAATATTTATTATGGTTATGTCCTCCTGGTGTATTGACCCTTTAATCATTATATAGTGTCCTTCCTTATCCTTTGTGGTGGATTTTACTTTAAAGTTTATTTTGTTAGAGATTTATATTGCCGTATCTGCTCTTTTTTGAGTGTTGTTTGCTTGATGTATTTTTTTCCATCCTTTGAGTTTTAGTTTGTTTGTGTTAAGTCCAAAGTGTGTCTCTTGTAGGCAGCATATAGATGGATCATGTTTTTTTATCCAGTCTGTCACTCTCTGTCTCTTTATTTGTGCATTTAGTCCATTTACATTCAGCGTGATTATTGATAGGTATGAGTTTAGTGCTGTCGTTTTGATGTCTTTTTTCGTGTGTTGTTCACAGTTTCTTTGTTCCACTTAATTTTCTGTTCTGAGTTGTTTTTCTTTATGTATTTTCTTTTCATCTTTTACATTGTTATTGATTTTGTGTTTGCTGAGTCTTTATGTTTTTCTAGTTTTTTATTTTGACTTGTAGGATTGTTAGTTTCCTTTGTGGTTACCTTAATATTTACCCTTGTTTTTCTAACTTTATACCAGTATTTTATTTCTTTATATCACCTTGACTTCCTCTCCAACATTTGCCTTTTAATGTAGTCATCTTTTACATATTGATGTCTCTGGTTCCCTATTTTCAGCGTTTTAACTTTGATTTACTTTTATGACTTCCCTATCTGGTTTTGTTATCTGGTTGCTTTGTCCTGTGTTCTAGTCTTGGGTTGTTATCCAATGTTACTGATTTTCTAACTGGAGGACTCCCTTTAGTATTTTTTGTAATTTTGGTTTGGTTTCTCCAAATTCCCTAAACTTCTGTTTATCTGGAAATGCCCTAATTTTGCCATCATATTTGAGAGACAGTTATGATGCTTATATAATTCTTGGCTGGCAGTTTTTTTCCTTCAAGGCTTTATATATGCCATCCCGTTGCCTTCTTGCCTGCCTGGTTTCTGCTGAGTAGTCCGAGCTTATTCTTATTGACTCTACTTTGTAGATGACTTTTCGTTTATCCCTAACCACTCTTAAAATTCTCTATCTTTTACTTTTTTTTTTTTTGCAAGTTTGATTGTAATATGTCTTGGTAACTGTCTTTTGGGATCTAGCTTATGTGGAGTTTGATGAGCATCTTGGATAGATATGTTGTCATCTTTCATGATATCAGGGAAGTTTTCTGCCAACAAATCTTCAACAATTCTCTCTGTGTTTTCTGTTATCTCCCACCCCATTCTGGTTCTCTAATCACTTGTAGGTTATTCCTCTTGATAGAATCCTACATAATTCTTAGGGTTTCTTCATTTTTTTTAAATCCTTTTATCTGATTTTTCCTCAAATAAGTTAGTGTCAAGTGCTTTATCTTCAATCTCACTAATTCTGACTTCCATTGCCTCAATTCTGCTCCTATGACTTTCTATTGAGTTGTCTAATTTTGAATTTTTATTGTTAATCTTCTGGACTTCTGATTGCTGTCTGTATGGTTTCTTGCAGCTTGTTAAATTTGTCATTATGCTGTTCTCTAATCTTTAGTTTCCTTTATTGTGTGTTCTGCATTTTGCTTAATTTCCTTCCTAATTTCTCGAAGAGTTCTGTATATTAATCTTCTGTATTCTGCCTCTGGTAATTCCAAGAAATTTTCTTCCTCTGGAAAATTTCTAGATTCTTTATTTTGGGAGCTTGCTGATGCCATCATGGATTGCCTTTTTATGTGATTTGATATTGACTGTTGTCTCTGAGCCATCAATAAGTTATTATATTTATTTATATTTGCTTACTGTGTCATAGCTTCTTGTTTTGTTTTGATATGCCCAAATAGGCTGCTCGTATGAGCTAGTTTGATTATTGGCACCTTTGAAGCTCTAATGTCCTGTCACGGGGTGGTTAGATTTATTACTAGGTATGTGAGTTCAGGAGTCTGCCCACTCCTCCTATATGGATTCAGCTCAGGTGCCCAGGTAGATAGCCATCAAGTGTGTGTTGTAGGCTCTCACCTACAGTCCTAGACAGGCATGGGTGATTGGTGTAGGCACAGGCATCTGGCTGCAGCAGGGGGATACACTCTGAGCAAGGAAGGGGGCTGACAGCCCCCCCTTAGTGTCCAGGAGGACGGCGTGTCCCTGTTCCCTAGAGCGATTAGGTGGGTGGGTTTTGCAGCCAGACTATGAGCACATAATGCTGTTGGCTGTAAGGACTGGGGGGCACCTCTTATTCATGGGCCCCTATTGCAGGTGGCTAGGTGGTATGGGTGGAGCCACCATTCCTCAGGCTTGTGATGTGGGTAGTTGAAGACTCTGCTGAATAGGCAGTGTCAAATGTCAAGAACCTGCCACTTTACAGCTGAAGCAGTTGAAGTTAGAGTTCTGGTGTATACTCTGTTGTATTGCGGTAATGAGGGCCTACGCTGTTGAAATGAGCCCACACAAGTCTTTGCAGGGAGAAAGGCGGTCAAAGTCTGTGGATCCCTTATGCCTGTGACTAGGCAAAGGAGCTGTGCCTACCCTGGGTTCCTGACTTAAGGGAGCCGGCACTTTATTTTTTCCCCTGTTTGTTAATTTGTTCACTCTCCAAGGCAGGAGAATGGCTGCAGGCATGTGACGGATCCTACTTCTGGCCCAGGGGACTCGGCAATTGCTGAAGTTTGTCCAGGACCCAGTGCAGAGCAGGGTGTGGGGAGGTAAATTGGAGAAAGATTTTTCCCTAAGGGGGGTGTTTTTGATCCGCACGGTAAGCTCTGCGGAATTACTTGTCTTTCACCGATGAGGGCTGCTTCTGACTGGTTCTGGGTGAGCGTGTGACTCTCTGGATCTGGGTCTCTCCTGGTGTGGAAAACACGCCTCCCGAGCACCATCACTTGCCTGCCTCACCCCTTGTTCCTGAGCTGATTAGGCCTGAAGGGCTCAGGCTCTTGCCAGCTCAGGTCTGGCAACTCCTTGCTGCTTCTGAACTGTCTCTCCCTCCCCCTGCCACTCAGTCTAGTTCCTCAATTCTGCCTTTGATGTTCAGGGCCCCCGGATTGCCGTATATAATTGAATCACTTGTTTTTTTGGGTCTTTGTTGTAAGAGGGTCCACTGGAAGCATCTGACTACTCCACCATCTTGACCCTGCCCCTTGACTTTAGAACATTTTAACTGATGACCACTCACTCTCAACTTATATATTATTGTCCAGTTTAGCTTTATCTTGTTTTAACTCCACAAATTAGATATTATTATTACATATGGTCACTGACTACTTGTATTTACCTACACATTTATTATTTCTTTGCTCACCATCCTTCCTTGCGTCTCAGATAATCCATTTGAAATCATTTTCCTTTTAGAACTTCCTTTTATGAGGGTCTGTTGGTGGAAATGTTTTTTCTGTGTTTGGACCTCAGATACGGAGAAGATTGGGTTAATTATAAGACATTCTTCATATGTATTGCATTATCATTTTTTTTCCCTTTCTCACTTTCCATTGGATATATTGAATTTTATTCTGCTGGTTTAAAAGTTATTCATTCTATTTTTGATTCATGTGGTAGCTGCATTATAAAATGGTTTTCTTTCATTTCTTCTAGCATTTTTAGTTATTCACAGCAGGAGGATTATTCAGGACTCTGATCTGCTATGTTTCAGAAAAGATACAGTATATTCTGCTGCAACGTGTTTTTGTAACCTAAATTATCTCATGAGGGATTAGTAAATAGAGGGATAATGTCATTATAATGTGAAAGCTAATACACAATTTTTCCAAGCATGTTAATGATTTGTGCTGTCACTAGCCTTGGAGTTTGCTCATGTTGTCCATTTATCCTGAGTTTTTCTTGGGGCTCAGTTTGGCCATCTGTTTTTCCTTGGAAGTGCTTATTGCACATTTCTCCCCAATGTTTGTGTATTTTTCCCTTGTTTCCATAACTCTGCAACCTCAACTTGTTCTTTAGCCCTCCCTTACATCAAGCCTGATTTAATATATATATAAAGTCCTTTTTTTACTTTAGTATTCTTTTATTTTTTAGAAATTTTGAGAACAATTTAACATATCTTTTAAAATGCACCTCTATATTTATTAATAGTTCAATGTTTTTCGTAGCACCCTACTTACAAAATTACAAAGGTTTTGAGCGGTCTACCCAGCCTGTTTTTTCAATATACTCTATTATTTTTAGTGAACAGTTCTGCAAAATACAAGTTTTTTTCAGGAATGTGTATGTCAGTCACAGCAGAAATCCCCGTATACTCAAAGGGTATATTTTGAAGGTAGCGCTAACATGGTTTAATAATGGATTTAATGTTGGGTGGCAGAAAAGGAGAGAAGTCACTGGTGACCCAAAGCTTTTTGGCTTGAACAATTGGAATATTGGAGTTGCTCTTTGCTACCTCATAGAGTTGTTGTAGGGATTAAATGAGATAGTGTATCTCAAATGCTTAGCACAATACCTGACACATAGTAAGCACTCAATAAAACAACAAGAAGGCTGTGACCATATTTAAACTCAAATTTGGATCCTTAATAAAATTTTCAAAAAGGATACCCTTACTCCTTATTAAATAGTCTTTATTAAAATTTAAAAGTTACGTACCACAGAGAATACTGACTGCTCTTGAGAACCTTTTTCTACTACTTTCTTTGTTATTGTTTCTGGAAGTTTGAGGATGAGAGAAGGGTGATCAGGGAAATGGAGAGAAGAGTGGTAGTATAAGTATAGCTTATTTTTATTAATTATTATTTAATTAATAACTCATTCTGTATCTTATAACAAGTTATTTGCCTTCATTTCTTTAAACAGTTTTGTTTCTGTTATTTCTTTCTAACAGAAGCCCAACTAAAGGAGGTTGAAGAAATGTTATATCAAGAAGGCTTGTCTGAAATAGCAATGAGCAGCCCCAGTGAACAGATTGCATATTTACTGGTGGAGAGAAGTACACTCTTGAGGAAACTAGAACTTATGGACCCCGAGCCAGAATCACAAAGATGTATGAGCAGTAAACTACAGAAAGAATTTCCACAGGTATTCCAATATTAACTAGATAATTGAGTAAGAGGAAGTTCAGTTTAAAAATGCATTCATTCAGTCATTTAATCATTCATGCATTAAAACATTAGGAAGCCAGGTTTAATAGTGCTTAAGAACACAGGGTTTGGAGTTAGATGGACTTCCTCTACCACTTGTTAGAAGTACGACATTAAGCAAGTTAGTTACCTTTTCTGACCCTCAATTTCCTCATCTATAAAATCTGGGATTAATTCAACTGTTCCACAAGAAGATGATGAAATTTAAACCATTCAGTGTATATAAAGCACTAGAACAGTACTCAGCACTTATTAATTAGCTATTATTGTTCTTGCTATTTATTGCTTTGTGCTGGTGGATACAAAAACAAATTAGACGTGATCTGGACTTGCAAGGAACTTACATGCTAATGGAGGAAAGAAGCCAGTAGTTATAGTTCTATGATAAGGGAAGGCTAGGGAGGAGGGTAGGAAAGCTCAGAGGAGGGGCTAAGTCACACAGGATGGGCAGGGTAATCAGAAAAGGCTTCCGGAAGGAGGTGATGTTGAGTAGTGTTTTGAAAGCTGAATAGGTGTTAGCTAGATAAAGAAGCTGGGAAGGGCATTCCTGGCAGAGGGAACAGAATGTATAACACGTGCTTGTTCATGTCTATGAATGCTGGGGAATGTGGCTGGAGATATTTTTAAGAACCACTTCTCAAGGAAAGGTCATGGAAACTCCATAGACACATCCAAACTCCCTGAGAGACCGAATTGCTGGGCGGAGGGCCATGGGGACCATGATCTCAGGGAACATCTAGCTCAACTGGCATAACAGTTTATAAAGAAAATGTTCTACACCCTATCTTGGTGAGTAGCATCTGGGGTCTTAAAAGCCTATGAGTAGTCATCTAAGATACCCCACTGGTCTCACCCCTTTGGGAGCAAGGGAAAATGAAGAAAACAAGATACAAGGGAAAGATTAGTCCAAAGGACTAATGGACCACAACTCCCACGGCCTTCACCAGACTGAGTCCAGTACAACTAGATGGTGCCTGGCTTCCACCACTGACTTCTCTGACAGGGACTACAACAGAAGGTCCCAGACAGAGCTGGAGAAAAATGTAGAACAAAATTCTAACTCACAAAAAAAGACCAGACTTACTGGCCTGACAGAGACTGGAGAAACGTTGAGAGTATGGCCCCTGAACACCCTTTTAGCTTAGTAATGAAGTCACTCCCGAGACACACTGTTCAGCCAAAGATTAGACAGCCCCATAAAACAAAATGAGACTAATGGGGTACAACAGTCCAGGAAAGCTGGTGGTGGGGAACCCAAGGTCGAGAAGGGACAGTGTTGACATAGGGGTTATTAACCATTGTCATAGGGCAATATGTGTACTAACTGTTTAATGAGAAACTATTTGTTCTGTAAACCTTCATTGAAAGTACAATAAAAAAAAAAAAAAAGAAAAAAAAACAAAACTAAGAAACTGAAAAAACAGAACCACATCATCGTGAGACTCATATGCTAAATTAAGGAGTTTGGCGTGAGCGTCTAACTTGGTTCTTAGACTATACTGTTGTTATTGTTAGTTACCATTGAGTCAGTTTCTACTCATGGCAACTTCATGTATTACAGAATAGAACTACTCTGTAGGGTTTTCTTGGCTGTAATCTTAACGGAAGCAGATCTCCAGACATTTTCTTCTGCAGTATTGCTGGGTGGGTTTGAATTGCCAACCTTTAGGTTAGCAGTCAAAAGCATACCATTTACACCACTTACAGAAAAATATTTTTGAGCTAATGAGTAATTGAGTTTGTTATAGAAGGTGTTACTTGCATGTGATATTAATGATATTGTTCGATAATTTCTGCGTTTGAAGGATTCACCTTTCTTTGCGACGGGCATAAGTATGGATTTCTTCTAGTGGGTTGGCCAGGTAGCTGTCTTCCAAATTTCTTGGCCTAGACAAGTGAGCACTTCCAGTGCTGCATCTGTTTGTTGACACATCTCAGTTGGTATTCCATCAATTCTGGGAACCTTCTATTTCGCTCATGTCTTCAGTGCAGCTTGGACCTCTTCCTTCAGTACCATTGGTTCCTGATCATATGCTACCTCCTGAAATGGTTGAACATCGACCAATTCTTTTTGGTATAGTGACTGTGTATTCCTTCCATCTTCTTTTGATGCTTCCTGCATCGTTTAATATTTTTCCCGTAGAATCCTTCAGTATTGCAACTTGAGACTTGAATTTTTTTCTTCAGTTCTTTGAACTTGAGAAATGCTGAGTGTATTCTTCCCTTTTGGTTTTCTAACTCCAGGTCTTTGCGCATGTCATTATAATACTTTGTCTTCTTGAGCCACCTTTGAAATCTTCTGTTCAGTTCTTTTACTTCATCATTTCTTCTATTTGCTTTAGCTACTTGACATTCAAGAGCAAGTTTCAGAGACTCTTCTGACATCCATTTTGGTCTTTTCTTTCTTTCTTTTTTATAGTGTACTTTTTTTTTTATTGTACTTCAGGTGAAGGTTTACAGAACAAATAGTTTCTCATGAAACAATAGTACACGTATTGTTTTATGACATTGGTTAACAACCGCATATGTCAAGCCTCTCCCTTCTTGACCTTTTTTTTTTCTTTTTTTGGGTGAAAATATACATAGCCTTTTCTTTCTTTCTTTCTTGTCTTTTTAATGACTTTTTGCTTTCTTCATGTACGATGTCTTTTATGTCATCCCTTCAACTCATCTGTCTGATGTTCGGTCATTAGTGTTCAATGCGTCAAATCTGTTCTTGAGATGGTCTCCAAATTCAGGTGGGATATACTCAAGGTCATATTCCGGCTCTCGTGGACTTATTTTAATTTTCTTCAGCTTCAACTTGAACTTGCATATAAGCAATTGATGGTCTGTTCCACAGTTGGCCCCTGGCCTTGTTGTGACTAATGATATTGAGCTTTTCCATAGTCTCTTTCCACAGGTGTAGTCAATTTGATTTCTGTGTTTTTTGTCTAGTGAGGTCCATGTGTATGGTCGCCAATTATGTTGTTGAAAAAAAGTATTTGCAATGAATAAGTTGTTGGTTTTGCAAAATTTTATCATGCGATCTCTGGCATCGTTTCTATCACCAAGGCCATGTTTTCCAACTACTGATCCTTCTTTGTTTCCAGCTTTCTCATTTCAATCACCAGTAATTATCAATGCATCTTGATTGCATGTTTGATCAATTTCAGACTGCAGCAGTTGGTAAAAATCTTCAATTTCCTCATCTTTGGCATTAGTGGTTGGTGTGTAAATTTGAATAGTAGTTGTATTCACTGGTCTTTCTTGTACGCACATGGATATTATCCTATTAATGACAGCACTGTACCTTAGGATAGATCTGGAAATGTTCTTTTTGACAATGAAAGCAATGTTATTCCTCTTCAAGTTGTCATTCCCAGCATGGTAGACCATACGATTGTCCAATTCAGAATGGCCAGTACTAGTCCATTTCAGCTCACTAATGCCTAGGATTTCGATTCTTATGTGATCCATTTCATTTTCGATGACTTCCAATTTTCCTAGATTCATTCTTCATACGTTCTATGTTCTGATTATTAATGGATGTTTGTAGCTGTTTCTTTCTATTTTGAGCTGTGCCACCTCAGCAAATGAAGGTGGCATCTCTTCCCTAGTTGTATTTTGAGCGCCTTCCAACTTGAGGGGCTCGTCTTGCAGCACTATATCAGACATTGTTCACCTGCTATCCACAAGATTTTCACTGGCCAGTTTTTTCAGAAGTACGTCGCCAGGTCCTTCTTTCTAGTCTGTCTTAGTCTGGAAGCTCAGCTGAAACCGTCCACCATGGGTAACCTTGCTGGTATTTGAAACACCAGTGGCATAACTTCCAGCATCACAGCAACATGAGCCGCCACAGTCCAACAAACTGACAGGCTTGCTTGTCTGTTGCAGAGAGAACATCAAAAACATCAAGAACCTGTGCAATGCTCTAAAAACACTCTTGAGTGAAGTAAAATTATGTTGCAATACTTTATTTAACAATAGTAGCTAATTGCAAATCAGCTTTTACTTTGAAAGTATTTTATTTGAATATATTAAAATACATCGATTCATGCTGTAAAATTATCAAATTATACATAAGAGTATTATAAACACATCACAAAAATTTGGAAAAAAAACAATCACTCAGTTAACATAATAGCTTTTTTCCACTGAATGTATCAAAATGTAAGCAATCAAGTGTGTGTTACATCCTTTGAAAACTTACCTTGGGACAGTGCATACTTCTTCCCAAATATGTTTGGAGCTGCTCTTTTGGAGAGTCTGCTAAAACCTGTGGCACATTATTTTAAATATCATCGGTTTTCTTTATGGAGTTTAATTTTTTGATCTGTGGAATGTTATTAAGAGTCAAATCTTGTGAATAAAGTAAATAATCAGTTTGAGTAGCAAATTTGCATACTTGGAACTTAATTATGGGGAAAAATATATATGGATAATACTGTATATCACATTATTATTTTTTTATGGCAAAAATTGGAAACTACCCAAATGTTTAAATGATTATGTAAATTATGTTACACCCACTCTGGAACAGTATATAAACTTTAAAAATTATCATAAAATGTGTGTAGCAACATGGGAAAATGTTCCTGGTGTAATGTTAAATGAAAAAGCCAGACAAAAACTTGTACATAGACTGGGAATATGACTATGTATGGATATGATATAATGCAAGAAAATATACCAGTATGCTAAAAGTTGTTTTGTTATGTGGATGGTATTTTGTGCTTTCTTATCTTTTAGAAAATTTGTGTATATCTATATTGATATAAAATTGATATTCTTTTGGAAATCAAAAGTAAATTATAATTGAGACTGAATTTCTTAATTAGCTTTTAAAATGTCTTTGAAAATAGTTACAGAAGCTTCAGACATAATTTGAGCCTTGTTGAGTGTATTCATACCTTGAAATTAAATGAAATGCTTTATGTGAAATCATCTTATAAACTGTATTTAATGTACTATATAAATGAGGAGTATTCTCTCTTTTGATAGGTGATGTTTATTTTTATGTTTAAGTCCTTGTTTTTTACATAATCATATAATAATAATGTTAGATGTATTGGATTGAACCATATGAAATTACATGTTTATAGGACAAAAACAATCAAATATCATCAGGTTTACATGGTTCAACCTAATAAAAGAAATGCACATAAATGAAATATTCTATTTTGCTACCTTTCTTTATTGACTTCCAAACATTTATAGGAAATAGCACAATATCATAAGAGTACGTTTACTTTTTGTTTGATTACTAACAGTAGTTTTATTTTAGTCCTATAGTAAAGATCTAGAAACAGATAAAACGTCACAAAACAGCCTAGAGAGCGATGTGGAACAAGCAGCAAAGACAGGGATGGCTCATGAAGAGATCCGAAGGCTCACTGATGAAGTGAAAGAGAAAGAGCAGAGTAAATTAGGTAAGCTGTGGTTACAGAGGAGTGTTTCTGACCATGTTTAAAGTGCATCCTCATGGTGGAATGATCTTTTCTCAGTATGGCGCATGAGTGCACTGAGAAAAAAAAATTTTTTTAGGATAAATGCATAAAAATCTGATTTAAAAATCTTGCTTTATGCAATGTCTAAACATTTTTATTTAAGTATAAGCATAACATACCTATCAAAAAGTAACCAACTCATAAGTGGAACCATCCAGGGCAAGAAATTCCCAGCATCCCGGAAGCCCCTTTGTTCCTTCTCCCTATCCTACACCCGTCCTCCTGACCAAAAGTAACCACTATCCTGACTTGTAACATCATTGCTGACTTTTCACTATATGCAGTATGCATTCTTTAGTTTGTTTCTCTTGCTTGATCTTCCGTCTGTGAGATTTATTCATGTTATTGAAGGTAGCAGTAGTTTGTTATTTTGCCATTTGTATAGTATTCCACTTAGTAAACATACTATCATTTGTCCATTCTACTGTTGATGGACATTTGTGTTGTTTCTAGTTTTCGTGTGTAATGAAAACTGCTGCTATGAACATTCTCGTACGTCTTTTGTGTACTTATCTACACATTTCTGGTTGGGATGTGCCTTAAGCATAGAATTGTTGGATCAAAGGGTTATGGATATGTTCTACGTTAGCAGATAATTGCCAAACTGTTTCCCAAAGTAATTGTGTTAATTTAAGCTCCCTTCAGCAGTAAACGAGATTTTAGTTGCTTTACATTCTTTGTCAGTACTTGGTATTGTCAGTTTTATTAATTTTATCTTTTCTGGTAAGTGTGTAGTGTATTTATTTAAATTGTGGCTTCAATTTGCATTTCTATGATGGTTAATGAGGTTGAAAACCCTTTCCTATATAGTTGTTGATTTTATGAATTTACTGTTTTGTGAAGTTCCTGCTCAAGTTTCATGTACATTTTTTTATTGGGTTGAATTTTTGTGTTTTGTTCATTTGTAGGAGTTCTGTATATATTCTGCATATGAGCCTTTTGTTGGTTATGAACATTATGGTTTTTGATTGTTTGCTTTGGCATACAGAAATGCTAATATCCATCCTGCCAGGTTTAACAGAGTTCCTTCTAGGTTTTCATGTTATGCTTAGTAAAGCCTTTTCTAGTTCCCTACAAGATTATTGAAAAGTTCACTTTTTTTTTTTTTTTAGTAATTTTGTGGTTTATTGTTTATATTTAAATCTTTGTTTTACCTAGAATTTATTTTAGTTAAGGTTTAAAAATGTTTAATTATTTCCACTCTATATTTATGATTTGTGATAATAAAAAAATTAGACTAATTCTTTTTCATGTGTAGTATATATGTTGCTTTAGAATCATATTTAAAAATTATTGAAGGTTTAAAATAATAATGATTTTTCCAAGTAGTTTGTGGGGTTAAAAACTTCAGGAGGGTTTATGTTTTGTTAAGAATGCATGCTAAACAGCAGATACAAAGGAACTTTTTGGAGTGATATTAATGTTCTATATCCTGATTGAGTTGGTGGTTACACAATTGTATACATGTGTCAAAATTTATCTGTATGTTTAAAAAGGTGATTTTACTGTGTATAAACTATACCTCAGTGAATCCAACTTAAAAAAAAATACAGTGACATGAATATGACAAGATGCAGTCTTTGCTGCTTATAACACAGAAGGAAAAGGGAAAAGCAGGACACCCATCACTCTTAGTTACACTGAGGACATAACAGAACACATTCACATAGCACCCTGTTCCATCAGCAGCTGCTTGGACTGGGAGATCCTAAATTTTTAACTAATAGCTGTCTCCACAGTTAGCATACTGGGGGACTGTTAGGAAGCTGAATTAGCAAGTTTTTTCTTGAATGTCATGTGTAGTATCAATGTGCGCACTAGGTGTAACCCCCTGAGTCAGCAGCTTATAGCCAGAATTTATTTCTAGGTATGTGTTTTGTATCACAGTATTCTCCAAGTATTAGTTTACCTCTTGCAACAAACTAATTCTTTTTAAATGAAGGGCTTTATTTTAGTTTGTTCTCTAGCTTTTTCTATATTGCATTTAAAAAATTGGCATGAAAATGGAAAATTTTGGTCAATGATAAAAATACTTTTCAAGAATAGAAAAGAATTCAAGTCAAATATTTAGTATATTTTCCAATAAATATAAGAAAAAGAGATGGATTTTAAGAGTTTTAAGGGATTCATTAACAATTATAATGCACAGATCTTACCAGACCCTGATTCAAACAAATTTTTAACATTTGTGAAGCAATTAGAAAGTTTGCTGGATATTTGTATTAAGGAATTACTGTGACATTTCGTTAGTCACAGGTAATGGTATTGAATTTATTTTTTTTAAGTTTTTATCTTTTAAGGATATATAAGGAAATATTTATAGATGAATGAATGAATCTGGGATTTACTTCAAAATAATACAGGCACCTACCTCACACCTACACAAAAATTAAGTCAGAATGGATCACAGAGCTAAATCTAAGAGCTAAAACTATAAAATACTTAGAAGAAAACAAAAGAATAAATCTTTGTGATCTTGGATTAGACAGTGATGTCTTAGATATGACACCAAATGCACCAGCAACAAGAAAATAATAAATTGGACTTAATCAAAATTTAAAACTTTTATACTTCAAAAAAGGGGCCCTGGTGTCACAACAGTTAAGTGCTCGACTGCTAACCAAAAGGTTGGTGGTTTAAGCCCACCCAGTAGTTCCACAGAAGGAAGACCTGGTGATCTGCTCCTGTAAAGATTATAGCCTAGAAGAACCCTCTGGGGCAGTTCTACTATGTCACATGGGGTTGCTATGAGTTGAAATTGACTAGACAGCGCCTAACAACAGCAACATTTCAAAAGACACCATCAAGAAAGCGAAAAGAGTATAGGGAGAGCATTTGGGTTACATAACAATGTATGTATAAATTTTTGGATGAGAGACTAACCCGAATTGTAAACTTTCACTTAAACTACAACAATTAAAGAAAGCGAAAAGACAACTCACAGACTGAGAGGTACTTGTAAGTCATATATCTGGTAAGGGACTTATATCTAGAATATGTAAAGAACTCTTACAACTCAATAATAAAAAGACAACTAAGTTAAAAAACGTGTTTTGAAGGATTTGAGTAGACATTTCTCCAGAGAAGATACGTAAATGGCCAATAGACGCATGAAAAGATGCTCAACTTCATTAGTCATTAGGGAAATGCAAATCAAAATCACAATGAGATACCGCTTCACACCCACTAGAAGCTATAATCAAAAAGACAGACAACGACAAGTGTTGTCGAGAATGTGGAGAAATTGGAACCCTCATCCATTGCTGGTGAGAATGTAAAATGGTACAGCCACTTTGGAAAACAGTTTGATAGTTTCTCAAAATGTTAAACATAAAATCGCTATGTAACCCAGCAATTCCACTCCTAGGTATCTACCCAGGAGAAAGGAAAACATGTCCACACAAAGACTTGTATGTGAATGTCCATAGCATCATTATTAACAGCAACTGAAAAGTATAAACAACCCAAATGTTCATCAGTTGATGAATGAATAAACAAAATGTGCAGAAAAGAGTTAGCATGGTGGTCTGAGACTGCTATCCTTAGAAAGGCCTATTGTGAACTTTAGAACTAATAAATGGATGTGTTGTTTTAAGTCAATAAGTTTGTGGTAATTTATTACTCAGCAATAGAAAACTCGTACAATATGCAAGGGAATAGATGAAACAAGATTGGCCATAAGTTGACAGTTGTTAAAAGCTGGATGATAGGTATGATCAGTCCACAGTAGATAGAGCATTGCTCAGTTCTATCTACTTTTGTATATGTTTGAAATTTTTCATCATTGTCAAAAAGTTTTCATGGCTATCTAGAGTAACTACTTAAGAAAAACTTAGAAAGTAAAACTGTCAAACCAGTAGAGTAAAACTGTCAAACCAACATAGTTCTAAGAAATACTACTAGTTTAAGACAACTGATTGAAAGCTACAGTTTTGAAATATCTGCACAAACAAGGCAGGAGAATCTGACTTAGTAGTATAAGTTAATGAATTTGGTGGTCTCTGATATGTTTAAATTTGATATGTAACATATTTGACTGTGTTATTTCTAAAATAGTTAATTTTTTTTGCAAGTGAAAGTAAATGTTTTCAGAATTCTTGAAGTACTTCCTCAGAATGTTAAGGTTCCACAGAACACAGTTTGGAAGCCCCTGGCTTATTTCATAAATTCTGAACTCCTTTGTGCAGCAAATAAGGGCCTTATGGTTTGGCTTTTGCCTAGCTAACCAGCCTTATATCCTACACTTCCCCTGATCCTTTGCATGGTAGACCCCAGCAGTGTTAGACTATGTGTATGTCTTAGGCTGGGTTCTCTAGAGAAGCAAAACCAGTAAAGTGTATAAATATATGTATAGAGAGAGATTATATCAAGGAAACAGCTCACGTGATTGTAGAAGCTAGAACGTCCCAAGTCCGGATCAGGGTAGAGGCCTCTCCCAAGTAAAACTGCCGCAGAAGCTGGCAAGCCCAAGATCGGCGGGTTGGAGAGCGGGTCTCCCGCTCACAGGCTGTGCAGATCGACGAATCCCAGGTTCGGCAGATAAGCTGACAGCTCAAGTCCCAAGAACGGGAGATGAGATGACAGGAAGCAGCCGCAGGATCCAGAGAGAGCAAAAAGCCAGAACGTCTGCTTATATACAGATGCGGGCCACACCTTCAAGGAGACTCCCTTTCATCTGATTGGCTACTCACAGTATATTCAATCATGGGAGTGATTACATTAAAACAGTGAGAATCATGGCCCAGCCAAGTTGACACACAATCTTAACCATCACAGTGTAGTTCCTAGAACAATCTATGTTCTGCTCTACAGCCTCTCCTGTGTCTTCTCCTATCTCTTCTCCTTTGCTCATGCTACTTCCTCTTTCTGGAACATCCTTTCCACTTGCTGTCACACTATTCCTTCTTTTTCTTCCAGAGAGGAACACATTGGAAAACACAGTTTTAGTAAAACAGAAGCTATTCTTACTTCTCTGGCATAGTGTAGTCAAACTGACCTGGGATCAAATTCCAGCTATGTCATTTACTAGTTGTGTAACATTGAGCAAGTTGCTTAACTTTCCTGGGTCTCATCTCATCTATAAAGTGGGAATATTAATATCTACTTTGCATATTTCTTATAATGATTAATATATCTGACACTAGTAAGTAGCTGCTGCTGGTGGTAGCAGTGGTAGTAATAGTATCGCAATAGTCAGGAATATAGTTGTAGGTGAATCTGGTAGGTTATACTGGGATTTACTCCAAAAAACTGAGTGCCATGCTTAAAAACTTTCCGCTGTTTTTCCTATTGTTTTCAGGGGCTCAGACACTTCAGCATGAAACCTGGTGGGGTAAACAGGAAGAGACAATTAAAGATCAGATTATCAGTGATAAGGATAAACATAGGCTGCAGTGGGAACACTAAGAGGGGAGTCTAGAAAAAGTGACATTTATGTAGAAACTGAGGATAAGTAGCAATTAGCCTGCTGAAAGAGAGTGTTCCAAAGAGAGAGACATTTGAAATTTATTATTAAACTTATAATTTGATTCTTAGGCAAATATTTTCTTTTTTCTTTTAGATTCTGCGCTTCAGATGGCTCAACTAGAAATAGAGAAATTGAAAGAAAATTTGATAAAACTAAAAGAAAATGGTGAGTCATACTAGAAGATATGTATATATATATGTATACCAAAACAAAACCCGCTGCTGTCGAGTTGATTCCGACTCATAGCAACCCTGTAGGAAGAGTAGAACTGCCTCATAGAGTTTCCAAGGCTGTAAATCTTTACGGAAGCAAACTGCCACATCTTCTCCCACAGAGTGGCTAGGGGGTTCGAACCACCGACATTGTGGTTAGCAGCTGAGTGCTTTTAACAACTGTGCCACCAGGACTCCAAATGCAACAAAAGAAAAATAACAGAAGCATAAGTATTTTATATGTTATATATGCTTATAGATATAGCTAAATATAAGATTGCATTTATGTGAAAACCAAGAACAGACGAAACTAATCTATTAGGGTGATAGAAGTTAGAAAGTGGTTACAGGGATGATGGGCAGGTGAGAGTGAAGAATTGACTGGAAAGGACATGAGGGAACTTTCTGGGATGATGAAAATGTTGTTTGTTGGAGGCAAGTTCACAGGTATATATAAAATTGTCAGAGTTCATTGAACTAAACTCTTAAGAACATACATTATATTTTATATAAATTATATCTCATTTAAAAATAGTTCCAAGTGGAAAATGGCTTTATAAAGACTGACCAGTAAAGACATCCACAATATACTCACAAGTGGAAAAAAGTTGAAGACAGTATTGTATAGCATTACTTAAATTTTTTAAAAAAGGTATATATGTATATATCTATCAGTATAAAATTAGGACTGGATAGACAAAAGGGAATATATATATATTTAACTGATGAGATTTTGGGTGTTTTTTTTCTTTTTTGTGTGTTTTTCAGTATTTAAAAAAAAATTTTACTTTAAATACAAAAGAGAAAGAAATGGAGGGTAGAGCAAGGGAGGAAAAACAAAAAGAAAAAATGAGGGGGAAAATTTAATACAAATTAAAAATAAAACAATGAAGAGAACAAAAGGAGACATTAACACAACAAAAGAAAAATAACAAGCATAAGTGAAAAATGGCTTAAAAAGATACTAAGAAACAGCTACAGATTCAGGGAAGTTACAGGCAGCAAATCTGTATTATTGAGACATTGATTAGCTCTGGAAATAGCAGATCTTATCATGAGGTGCTGAGAGCAGATCACCATTTAATGGTCAGTGGTACAGGCAGAAAGGTGGTTATGAAGAATTAACTCTAACTTAGAAAATCTATCCATTCACTGCTCTCAGCTCACTGTACTACTTCTGTCATCTATGGGCCTTATTGTTGATGAGTGGAAGGGAGGTGTCTGGGAGTATGTAAGGTGAATGAGACGGTCCTAAAGGGAAGATAGGAAGATAGTTTTCTCAGCTATTTAAATTTTTAAAGGGTTATTGTTGTTGTTAGTCTCCGTGGAGTAGATTTTCAACTCATAGTGAAAAGGTAGCTAAATTATTTTAAAATTCCAGGTCCTGGAAGAGCCTCTATCGGTAGAAACCCTACACTGAAAAAGTCTAATTCATTAGTCTGGTGTGATAAATAAAAAACATCAGTTCCGTTATGATACATGGGTAGAATATCCTAGGGCTGGGCTTGAAAATCTAGTGGCACCACTGTACAGAGAGCCACATGTGAGAGACATGGTAGGACTGACAAGAAGGGGAAGAAATAGCACTCTCTTAGTTTTTAGAGTTAAAAAAATCCATTGCCATTCAGTCAATTCCAACTCTTAGTGACCCTATAGGACAGAGTAGAACTGCCCCATAGAGTTTCCAAGGAGCGCCTGGTGGACTCAAACTGCCGACCTTTTGGTTAGCAGCTGTAGCTCTTAACCACTGCGCCACCAAGGTTTCCGTTTTTAGAGTTAATGCCTCCAAATTAAAACTTTGATTCAGTTGAGTAAACTCTTTTCTTCTCTGATTTAGATTCAGTTGACCTACAGAAAGCAAAGGAACATAATCAGAGACTGAATGAGGAAATTCTGGCTTTAAGAAATCGGGTTAGATCACTTGACTCGGAAAAAAAAATGCTTGAAGAAGAGGTAAGTTGTTTAGTTGTTAGAATTTATTTAAATATGTACATAGTAACTTTCAGCAGCTAGAGTAACGTGGATGTACATCACATAAGTTGGTCATTAGTGAGGACTAATAAAACTGGCTACGGCATCCCAGGCAGAATGGTTTTATATGCCACACTTTGACTGAGATGCCTTCTCTAGGTATCTATATTTTATACATTTTGAATACCTATGCCAAAACTATTGCTATTATGTCGATTTAGGAACTTTCTTTTTAATAAGGATTTAGATAAGTAGTTTATACTTAACACATTTACCAAATAGAAATGATTATTACATTGAGGAAGTTTGAGATCATTAATACTAAATCCTTAGTTGTGTTACATTTTCAACAATTTTTTCTTAGCAATTTATAGATTTTTAATATGTACTTCTAAGTTCTGGATAAATTGTATGTTTCTTTAATTTTGGTTTATACTGATTTTACAATCATATCTCTAGTGTCTAATATCTGGTATATACAAGGTGCTCAAGAAATTTTGTAAAAATGAATAAACAAATGAAGGCTGAATTGTCTTAGTCTTTGTAAATTTACATATTTAATGCATATATATGTATATTTATATACATACATACATATATATATACACATATCTATAGTTGTCAGGTGCCGTCATAGCGACCCTATGTACTACAGAACTAAACACTGCCCGGTCCTGCGCCATTCTCACATTTGTTGTTATGCTTGAGCCCATTGTTGCAGCCACTGTGTCAATTTATCTCGTTGAGGGTCTTCTTTTTCACTGACCCTCTACTTTACCAAGCGTGATGTCTTTTTCCAGGGACTGATCCCTCCTGATAACATGTCCAAAGTATGTGAGACATAGTCTTGCCATCCTTGCTTTTAAGGAGCATTCTGGTTGTACTTCTTCCGAGACAGTTTTGTTCCTTCTTTTGGCAGTCCATGGTATATTGAGTATTCTTTGCCAACACCATAATTCAAAGGCATCAGTTCTTCTTCGGTCTTTCTTATTCATTGTCCAGCTTTTGCATGCATATGAGGCGATTGAAAACACCATGGCTTGGATCAGGTGCACCTTAGCCTCCAAGGTGACATCTTTGCTTTTTAACACTTTGAAGAGGTCTTTTGCAGCAGATTTGTCCGGTGCAATGCATCTTTTGATTTCTTGACTGCTGCTTCCATGGGTGTTGATTGTGGATCCAAGTAAAATGACGCCCTTGACAACTTCAGTCTTTTCTCTGTTTATCATGGTCCAGTTGTGAGGATTTTTGTTTTCTTTATATTGAGGTATAATCCATAATGAAGGCTATAGTCTTTGATCTTCATCAGTAAGTGCTTCAAGTCCTCTTCACTTTTCACCAAGCAAGATTGTATCATCTGCATAATGCAGGTTGTTAATGAGTCTTCCTCCAGTCCTGATGCCCTGTTCTTCGTATAGTCCAGCTTCTTGGATTATTTGCTCAGTATACCGATTGAATAAGTGTGGTGAAAGGATGCAATCCTGACACACACCTTTCCTGAGTTTAAACCACACAGTATCCCCTCATTCAGTTTGAACAAGTGCCTCTTGATCTATGTACGGGTTCCTCATGAGCACAATTAAGTGTTCTGGAATTATCATTCTTTGTAGTGTTATCCGTAATTTGTTATGATCGACACAATCGAATGCCTTCTCATAATCAATGAAACACAGGTAAACATCTTTCTGATAGTCTTTGCTTTTAACCAAGATCCATCTGGCATCAGTAATGATATCCCTGGTTCCATGTCCTCTTCTGAATCTGACTTGAATTTCTGGCAGTTCCCTATCGATGTACTGCTGTAGCCACTTTTGAATGATCTTTAACAAAATTTTACTTGCATGTTGTATTAATGATATTGCTCAATAATTTCTGCATTCAGTTGCATCACCTTTCTTTGGAATAGGCATAAATATGGATCTCTTCCAGTTGGTTGACCAGGTAGCTGTCTTCCAAATTTCTCGGCTTAGGTGAGAAATGCTGCATCCCTTTGTTGAAATATCTCAATTGATATTCCATCATTTCCTGGAGCCTTACATTTTGCAGCTTGGACCTCTTTCTTCCTGATCATATGTTACCTCCTGAAATGGTTGAATGTCAACCAGTTCTTTTTGGTACTGTGATTCTGTGTATTCCTTCCGTCTTCTTTTGATGCTTCCTGCGTCGTTTAATATTTTCCCTGTAGAATCCTTCACTATTGCAACTCAAGGCTTGAATTTTTTCTTCACTTCTTTCAGCTTGAGAAATGCCAAGTCTGTTCATCCCTTTTGGTTTTGTAACTCCAGATCTTTTTGTGTGTTGTTATAATACTTAAAGTTGCCTTTTGAAATCTTCCGTTCAACTCTTTTACTTCATCATTTCTTCTGTTTGCTTTAGCTACTTGACGTTCAAGAGCAAGTTTCAGAGTCTCTTCTGACATCTATTTTGGTCTTTTCTTTCTTTCCTGTCTTTTTAATGACCTCCTGCTTTCTTCCTGTATGATGTCCTTGATGTCATTCCACAGCTCATCTGGTCTTCGGTCATTAGTGTTCAACGTGTCAAATCTATTCTTGTGATGGTCTCTAAATTCAGGTGGGATATACTCAAGGTCGTACTTTGGCTCTCGTGGACTTGTTCTAATTTTCTTCGACTTCAACTTGAACTTGCATATGAGCAATTGATGGTCTGTTCTGCAGTTGGCCCCTGGCCTTGTTCTGACTGATGATATTGAGCTTTTCCATTGTCTCTTTCCAGATGTAGTCGATTTGATTCCTGTGTATTCCATCTGGTGAGGTCCACGTGTATAGTTGCCATTTATGTTGTTGAAAAAAGGTATTTGCCGTTAAGAAGTTGTTGGACTTGCAAAATTCTATCATGCGATCTCTGGCATTTTTTCTGTCACCAAGGCCATATTTTCCAACTACCGATCCTTCTTCGTTTCCAGCTTTTGCATTCCAATCACAAGTGATTATCAATGCATCCTGATTGCATGTTCGATCAATTTCAGACTGCAGAAGTTGATAAAAATCTTCAGTTCTTCAGCGGCCTTAGTGGCTGGTGTGTAAATTTGAATAATAGTAATATTAACTGGTCTTCCTTGTAGGCATATGGATATTATCGTATCACTGACGGTGTTGTTCTTCAGGATAGATCTTGAAATGTTCATTTTGATGATGAGTGCAGTGCCATGCCTCTTCAAGTTATTATTCACAACATCGTAGACCATATGATTGTCTGATTCAAAATGGCCAATACCAGTCCATTTCAGCTCACTGATGCCTAGGATGTCGATGTTTATGTGGTCCATTTCCTTTTTGACGATTTCCAATTTTCTTAGATTCATGCTTCGTACATTGCATGTTCTAACTATTAATAGATGTTTACAGCTGTTTCTTCTCATTTTGAGTCATGCCGTGAAGTTTCCGAAACCTTGACTCCATCCACGTCATTAAGGTCGACTCTACTTTGAGGAGGCAACTCTTCCCCAGTCGTCTTTTGAGTGCCTTCCAACCTGAGGGGCTCATCTTCCAGCACTGTTCACAATGTTCTGCTGCTATTCATAAGGTTTTCACTGGCTAATTTTTTCAGAAGTAGACCGCCAGGTCTTTCTTCCTAGTCTGTCTTATCCTGGAAGCTCAGCTGAAACCTGTCTGCCATGGGTGAACCTGCTGGTATTTGAAATGTCGGTGGTATAGCTTCCAGCATCATAGCAACACACAGTCCCCCACAGTACGACAAACAGACAGATATGTTGCGGATATATATATATATATGTGTGTGTGTATGTATGTATGTATGTAAATTTACGTGTCTAATACATAAAAAAGTCTAGGATGGTGTCTTAGTTATCTACTGCTGCTATAACAGAAATACCACAAGTGAATGACTTTAACAAAGAGAAATTTATTCTCTCACAACCTAGTAGGCTACAAGTCCAAATTCAGGGCATTAGCCCCAGGGGAAGGCTTTCTCTCTCTGTCGGCCCTGGAGGAAGGTCCTTGTCATCAATCTTGCCCTGGTTGAGAAGCTTCTCAGCCCAGTGACCCCAGGTCCAAAGGATGCACTATTCTCCTTGCTCTTGTTTCTTGGTAGTATGAGGTCCCCATGTCTCTCTGCTTGTTTCTCTCTTTTATATCTCAAAAGAGATTGGTTTAAAACACAATCTAATCTTGTAGATTGAGTCCTGCCTCATTAACATAACTGCTGCTAATCCATCTCATTTACATCATAGAGATAGAATTTACAACACATAGGAAAATCACATCACAATCACACAATACTGGGAATCATGGCCTAGCCAAATTGATACACATATATTTGGGGGACACAATTCAATCCATGACAGATGAGTACATCCCAAACAGTGTTACTTCTATAAAAGAAAGAGAGATTGTGGGGTAAGGGTATGTAAAGGAAAATGGCACTTTTTGCTGTATATACTTTTGTGTTTGAATTTATATAAAGAGAATGGTTTCATGTATTACTTGTATAATTTAAAAACAAAGCAAAATTGCTCCCCCAGAATATAGCAGACAAAATTGAGAAGTCTACAAGGTGCTTACGTTTGTTTTTAAGGTTGAAAGACTTAAAGGAGAGATTCATGAATCTCAGGAGAATGAGCAAGTTGGAAACCACTCCCCTGGAAAAATTGTGGGTACCCAACAGAAAGTACAGGTATTTTAAAGTTCTCCTCTTTCTGATTTCTAACTTTTAAAGGAGTTAGATTTTTACAGAGTACACTATTGCAATTGACAATGATCACTTCCTTCTGTCTTCTTATTGAGCTGTCTTTTCCTACTGCTAATTAGAGTAGAGGAAGAAATTGAAGTACAGAGGATCTATTTCTGTTCACCTCTTTCCTAGGGGAGACAGTTAATATAAAGAATATAATTAATTGTTTCTTTAAAGAAAAAAAGAATCTTACAAAGATACAACCAATTTGAGCATTTTTAATCATCAAAGAGTTGATTTATAGAACCAAGCAATGGGGACGGAAGGGAGAACCACACTAAATATAATAAAATATTGTAGAGAACTAACAGTATTTAGGCTCCAGTATATACAGGGTCTAGTCTCTTCAGTGTGATTAGTATCTAAGTGGTGGGCAAAGGGATCAAACGCAAGACAGTTGGAAACAAGCACCAATGTGTTTTAGATAATGCTGTTTAAGACATGCAGATCAAAAAGCTAGATAGCTTTGGGGAAGCCCTTCGTCTTACATACCTATGATAAATGACATCCCCTCATTACTGAGGGATCTCATACACCAGAGCTTGTTTTTATTATAACTCTTTGGGCCCTACAGCACAGACCTCTTAGGTAGCAGGGAAACTACAGGTACAGTATTTCTTGGCCCCCCACATAAGAAACTAGTATCATTCCTGTATCCCAAAGCTCGCTTGCAGGTAAACAATACGGTTGTATAAAAAACAAACAAACAAAAAATTGAGAGAGCATCTTCAATAGTTTGTACAACATTATTCCCAAAGGACCCCGTGGTCCTCTAATTTAAATTAAGTTGATGGTAATTGAATACATTTCAGGTAATATAGAAAAAATAAATTTTGCAGTTAGTCCTCAACACAGCTGTAAGTTTACATCATTTTTCTGGGTCACACAACTTGCATGAAGAATGGGTACCTTTTTGTATGGTAGAAATACCTGATGAAAATACTAATTCTAGGGAAATATAGTTAAGCAGACCTTTGGTCCTAGATTTTTCAGACTTCTAATGGCTTTTCCCATCCCTGTGGACCAAACTGGCTAATTACAAATAGAGCGGCATCAAATAAAATATTGTTTTATTCAATAGAAGTGAGTTGTGTTGAGAACACAAAATTACATCATCTCCTAGTTACAGGTATTGTGATTTATTATTATTCCAAGTATTTCCAGGTAAGTAATGATAGCACAGAGTCATGATGGAGCCCCATGATACCCACCTGATAAAGTCAAACAAACTTAGAGAATTTTTAAATGTTGTTTTCTTGAATAGATGCATTTACATGTTACAAAAGTCGAAGTAACTGTAAAGATGTACACAAAGAAATGTCATTTCCCATCCCTGCCCCACTACCTCTTTCCTCCTCACTAATCCCCTGTTGGTAACCACTTTTATTTGTTTCTTATTTATCCTTCCAGTATTTCTTTATACAGATACAAGCAATTTGAATGTTTATTCAAGCTTCTTTCTCTCTTAGCATCTTTTTTTGTTTTGTTTTTTTCAACGAAAATGCTCCTGGAAATCCTTCCGTATCATAGAGATCTTTCTCATCCTTAGTTAGAGCAATCTAGCATTCTGTTGTGTGGACGTACTATAACTTATTTAACCAGTCCCCTGCTGATGGACACTTGTTTTTTTCCCGGTCTTTTGTGTACGTGTGCAGATGTTTCTGTAGGATAGGGTCACAGAAATGGGATTGTTGGTCAGAGGGTAGATGCATCTATAATTTTGGTAGATATTGCCAGCTACCCTTTAGTGGGAATTGTCCCATTTTCCTATCTCACCAGCAATGTATGAGAATGTCCGTTTTCTAAAAAAATCACCAACAGAATGTACTGTCAGGCTTTTGCATTCTTGCTACATAATAGGTGAAATGAGTATGTCAGTGTAGTTTTAATTTTC